TGAAGCAGAAAGTTGCTTAGAAAGCGAAGCCCTAAATTCATTCTCTAAAGTAGACTTGGACACACTATTCTTTCCAACCTTTAGGGCTACATTCATCATCTCTCTGACCAGAAAGATGCCACCAATTACTGACCCATCGCATTAGAATGGAAACTGAGTAGAAATGGAGGAAGGATTCTTGACAAAATTCACACGTCAGACCACACTTCAGGGGGTTATTTCAGCAGAAACTACATGATAGTCTAGGAAACCAGCACTCCTTTTTTTTTATTTTATTTATTTTTTTCAATAGAAGTCAGATTTATTTGTATTTTATGTGATGACTAGTGATTTACATCCCACCCACCCATTTGAGAATATTCAGGGCTCCAGGCGTATCTCCAGCCGGTTCCAGACTGTTCAAATCATTGTTGGTCCATCCATTTACCAGTCACAACAAGGCCTTCTGTGACTAATTATGGCCTGATGCAGCAGGAGAGGCAGCTTCAAAGAATGGGAATCTTCAGACACACTGGCAGTTCCCTTGGTTCCCAAATTCTTTATTTATATGGATTACACTGAGTTGACAGATTTAACTGGGCTGTTGAAGATACAGTCAAAGAAGCAGAGTCACTCCCTTCCCTTTTATTGTTTTCTGAAGACAGAACAGTCATACTCATCTGTCACTAGAGAGAGGAAGTTGTCCATCACTGGACTTGATTTGGGCTCTTACGCGCTGTTTCAGTAGCGTCTGGGAATAGATCAATATAGTATTTGGTGGGGAGTTGTATTTCCTTCTGATGTGCTGTAAAACTTTTATTGTAGATACTCCCACTGTTTATTGTTGAAAATCAATAAAAATAAACCTTGTAAAGTTAAAGTAGGGCAATGGTTCAGCACAAATCAGAGGAGCAAGAGGCAGTGAGTCGTCCTCCCCCTCTTGGATAGTTCCCAGCTTGTTTCCCAATGAATATTCAATTCAATTTCCAGAAATCTGGGAACATTGTTAAAAAATATATATATATAAATGTTCCCAGTTCTGAACACTCTGTTGTGATCTCAGACAGGACTGCTGTTCCACTTTGGTGGATTTCTGTACTGAATTCAGCTGGGGATCAAAACGGAGTATTACCCATATTATGTGTTGGATATACCTTAGAATTTTGCCCTCCAGAGACAGACAAAAGCACATCCCCCTCACTCAGCTCAGAGTAAAGGATTTTTAAATTTATTTTTTTTTTAACATTAGGAAACTAGGAACTACCCAAAGAAGGTAAGAAGTGGGAACAGCCCAATGTGGAGAAAAGTTTCTCCAAAAGTTTCTCCGAAGTCAGAAGTTACTATCCCTACTTCCAAGCCTGTGGAAGCAGAGCAGGATCCAATCACTCCAGCATCATTCTTCTGCGCTATGGCTATTAAATTCCTCATAAACTGCATCTTAGGGTGGAGTCTTCTTCTATTTCCATGAGATTCAGCTATGCAGGGAAATGAAAAATGGTTTGGAATCATTTAGTAAAGGGAAAAGTTTACCAGTGCTGAGAGATCAGTCCTTTTCTGTCTAAGCATAGTATCAATGTAAAATGCATAGTATCAATGTAAAAGTAGGACCAAGTCATCAGTAGTACACTCTAGTCCAGCAGAGATCATAGTGTGAGATACTGGAGTTGACTTGCCTGCCAAGATTTGGGTGAAAGTTCTGTTTAACACATTATCTGGTTTTGACTGGATCACGCAGACTTGCAGCTAACCTGGGCTCCCACCAGCCAAGTTCACTTCTGCTTGTACAGCCATTACCTTCTGTGGAAATGTTCAGTTGGGAACCACCCTGGGGATGACACATCTCACAGTTTGCTCTCTGCTGCATCCCTGCCTGTTGGGGACTTCAAAAGGGAAAATGCAGTAAAAATACCGGCCACTACTGCTTCTAAGTATCTAGCTCAGTGCCTGTGGGATGTACTGGTACCACTCCAAAGAAGGCATAGAAAAATTGCCATCCTGGTTCAGCAACACTTGACAGTAACATAAGTAATATTGTAAGGTGCAGGGCAGCAGCTACCCAGGCCCACTGAAGTCCTGGTAAATTGATGGTGGGTTTATATTAATTTGTCTGCAGAGTTTCAGGCCTTCCACTGTGATTGCTGCCATGTAGTTGTAGCTTGAAGCTACACCACCTGTAGCTCTACCATTGCTGCTTCCACTTTCTGCACTGAGAAATTCAGAGAGGTGCTTTCCTTTGAAGAAAGAAATTATCTTCAACTAAAAGTCATTACCCTACGGGTCTCAGTCAGGCACTTCCATCAAATGTCTGCCAGCTTACTGACACAGATCCCCTCAAACTCACTTAAGCAACCACCAGTTACAAAACCCCAACAAAACAACAACCAAAGAAACCACACAAAAAAACCCAAAAGCCCTGTACAACAACCTAGTCAAGTTCCCTGCAGGTGCACAACGAACCTCGCCAGGCCCTTCTCTGGTGACCTCTCTCAGCTCAGTGCCAAGGAAGACTAAATGCTAGGAGAACTTTTGGAATCCAAACGGGAATCCAAACTTGCTGACAGTCATGTGCTGCACTTCAAAAAGATGCAGTCTCACAGTGTATCATTACACAAGGTCGAGGTAAAGAACATATGGCTCTTTACAGGACAGGAACCCGCACTGGTGTATTTTTCCAGAGCCAAAATCTCACATCATAGAATTATGTTTGTGATGAATAAAAAATAACCCATGAGGGAAACCAGAAAGTGTTCAGCACTTGCCTGTCACAAGTTGCTATTGAAATGGTTGTACCAAATATTTATTTTGCTCCAATTTATGGAGCACGAGTGATGGCTTAAGCTAAAACTCCAGGGCTTTTTAAAGTTTTCAAAGTGGCTGCCACAGCAAGGAAAAAAACCTCACTACTTCAGCATTAGGTGAAGTAAGACTAATTTTGTTACTACAAGGGGTTCTGAAACTAGTCTCAGTTTACACTGCTGCTTATCAGTGATCATTTAAGGTGTGATGCTTAAATGCAGCCCCAAGTTCCTTTTTTTTTCCCCTTTCCCTGTAAAAAGTTGTCACTTTTGTCTTGCGTTTCTTGCTATAATAGGTAAGTCTCTGCCCACAATATTTAGTTGCTGACTCAGTCAGTACTCATTGTTATTGCTTTCAGTTTTATCCCAATTTGAGGAATGGAAACTTTTCTGGAAAGTCTGTACATGGACCTCAAAATAAACTTATAAAACTAGCAGCACTGTCTTTGTAGCACAACAACCTGTCGGGACAGCAATCCCGAGAGGTTGTCCCTGGTGTCACTCGAATGCTGATGTCAGCAACCTCAAAGTCAGGGAAGGGATCTCAAAAGATCATCTGGTCCAACCCTTCATGGGAAAAGGAGGCCAGGTGAGATTATCTAGTACCCTGTCCAATTGCACCTTGAAACGTCCAGCAATGGGAACTTCCCCACATCCCTGGGGAGGTTGTTCCAGTGAGTGATGATTCTCACTGTAAAAATGGTATTACAAGATGAATATGAGCATAGTGACATCACTGACAGAAACCCCATTTGAACCAAAAGCATCCACTCTTACCTTTACTACATTTACTACATTATATAACCTGTAAACAGCTTAGGAGATACAGTCCCACCATCACATCATTGTCAAACCAGGAAGCTCTAGAACAAGCAAAGAGGATGTTGTTGGTACCACTGAACTTCTGAAATTGTATCAAGCTAAAATTCACTACAGCAGTGGCAGAAGCAGAGATGTCCAACAGTGGCACCACCCCTCTGGGAAGACCCATTTCACTGAAACTCCTGTGGGCAAGAAACAGATGTGTGATTCCCATCACACATCCCCATTTTTAAGTGCTGCAAATTAAGCAACAGATATACATTTTAAGGTAATGAAAAGCCAGATCTAATTAGTCAGACAAGAAAGCCCAGAAGAGCTGGTTTTAACTTTGGAAAGATGGTGTTTTATCACCAACAAAAGTCAAATAATGAATCCTTTAAGTTCTTGCTGTCTTCTTTCCCTGTCTTGAAGGAAGGAGAAAAGGTTCTTAATTTATATGGCCCCATTAATCTACCTCTCCTGGTACCTGAGCTAATTTTGGCATCATTACAAAGCACTGCACAGGGCTAACGTTCCCAAGACTTTGAGCCACTTCTGCCAAGCCTTCCTCCTAAACATGTTCTGCACTTAAAATGTGTTAAGAAATCCAATTATCTTGTTTAAAACTGTACTAACTCTTCCATCTGAAGGACTGTTAATCACATTTTCATTCTTTTTATAGTTAAAGCTCTAAAAATTAACTGACCCTTTGTTCACAAAGACCTTTATCATTTTAATTCTCAGCACTGGAGAGCCGCTTAATGCCTTCAGAGTGGGAGGAGAGAACAGAGGAGTATTCTGCAAGAGACAGTAACACATTATTTCATGGACACTGGTGGTGGCTTCACAAAGCCACGTTCTCATGGCTGCAGCCACACAGCAACACAACTCAGGGAGTTTCCATTAGGCTGCTTTCAGGGAACTGCAAGAGAACCAGGGTACGTGTATCTTTTGAAAGTAGAAGCAACATTCAATTGTTGAGGTTTGCATTCCTCCTTCAGCCACTTCTCCAAACTGGTGGGATGATGGTAGTGTCAAGCTGCTAATTCTTCATGTTTTATCACACATTTAAAATCTACTTACAGAGTAGCACAGAACATAAAATCAGTTTCCTAGAAAGGCTGGTTTTTTGTGAGTCCTATTATCAATTTTAGCCACGGAGATAAACAAAAACAACTCCTGAAAATGCTGGAATCTGGTCCACAAAATTAGTATTGAATCTGTGGTTCTTTTATTTAGAGTTGAAGAGGGTGGAGCAGTAAAAGGCAGGAAAGCAGTTGGGTTTTTTTTATCCCAACACTTGGGGAAAAAAAATTGTTTGTTTGTTACTTCCCTCAATAGTTGCAATTTCAAACAACTCAACAAAAAAGGCCAGCAGTGTCGACACACCCCTCTTCCACCCTCAAAAGATGAAAGGAAAAGGCTTTATTTCCCTTTCTGCACTTGGCCTCTCTTTGCCTGTACTATCCCGGAGCTCCCCAGGCTTTGGTTCACAGTGACGGTAAGGGCTGCTGGCCTTCTCATCCTTTCAAAACTGTAGCATTCCACTTTTTCTTCACTGGAGACTGTCCTGGTGCTTATGAGGTGAAATCCATCTCTGAGTAAAGTGTCAAGTAGCAGGCCTAGCACATTGGTACCATTAATCAGCTTTCTATTATCAGGCTTTATGGAAACATACCTAAAATAAGAAAAAAGCAGTTACACTTTCATTACTTCTTGAAGGATGGAATCAAATTTTTTAATAAAACAAACCAGGTCCTTGGATGGTACAAGTCAGCACAATTGCCACAGGTTTACAGCAACCAAGGTTCTGGACATTTTTTTCCTCCCTTGAAGACAACTGAACTCTCCCTCATTGTAAGAACCAGTCACTCTCTGCTGGTCCACTTACATGATGGAGAAGAATCACTTCTTTTTCACCCCCACACCAAACCTTACTTCCTTAAGAAATAGTTGTGACAACCTTCATCCCGTTCCACTTCATGGAGGAGAGATGAGTGGTATGTGCAGTGGCTGTGCAGTGCTGCAACAGCTCCTCAGGTAAGAGTCAGTGATGGAAAGGACACAGTGAAGGCACATTCACCCCAACAGCACCACTTTTCATTGCACAGGATCTCTTTCTACAAACAGTGACATTTATTGCAAAGTTACCTTGTACAGCAGGTCTTGTGGTAACAAGTATGAAAATCATTTTCACATTGCCTCAAATGATTTTACTTGATATAAAGCACAGTTTATGAATCTATCCAGAGATTTTGTGGAACAGGTCAAGTAAAAGTCAGGTAAAAATACTATTACAAAATACAAAGCTGACAGAAGTGAAACTGTTCCACAGTTCACAGAAGGTACATTCATGGAAAGCACAAACAAGGCAAAAGAGTGCATGTCACCAAAGACTAAGTCAATAGAAATTCAGCAGGCAACATAATCAAACCTCACTTCTTTCATTAATCAAGATAAGCTTTTCTATTGATCTGCAAAGGAAAGTTTTTAACAAGTCTGAAGCAATCAGGAATATATTTCCCACTGTTTAAGTTGCTGTAACCTAGTCAACCAATTGTGAGTCGATTAAAATCAGCAATGCATTATAGAATTAAAGTCTGACACATAAATGCATCTTGCTTCACAAATGCAAACTAATTTTTCTTCTACTTGCTTAGCTAAAGAAAGCTAGAAGAAAGATAAACTTCACTATTTTTTATTTTTTTTTAATAAACAAAGGACTGTTGTGTTGATTCCTATATGCAGAAACAACAGTCCTTTTGGAACTATTTCAATGAAATTTCCATAAAATTCCAGATGTTCTAACAGCCACAGAGGACAAATTAGGTTACATTTTCTTCTACAGTGAGAACATGTCTCCATACAATAGAGACATCCAATAAAAGTATGTTTAAAAAAGGTAAGTTGTCATTAGAATACAGAACTGCTATCACAAAAATCACTGATATATGGTCATCTTAATAAAAAACAGAACCTGGCTCTGAATTCAAAGAAAACCTGCTGCGTAGCATATAGTCAATAACCTACCCCTTCTCCCGCACCCCAATAAAACGCTCTATTAAAGCTTTCCAGTACCTGAATTGCAACCTTAGTTATACTGGTGTTTTCAACCCTGTTTAGCCATTTTCTTTTTCCTCTTTTCCGTATGAAAGTCTTTTGGAGCTCAAGCTAGTGGAGATTTTATGCTTCTCCAGTAGTTTCACTCCTTATTTATTTTGTTTCCTTTGCTTCATTTTACTCTGTTTGGTCTTGTAGAAAGTCAGTGATGCCATGAAGTTCTTAAGCCTGAGAGAGTGAGTGAGGAGGAAATGGCAGAGAGAAAGACCCAGCAGAACTCCAAAACAAGCACTGAGAACAGAAAGTTGCAGAACAGGCAAATTGGTGTAACAGAAACTGAACTGGGTATTTCAGAACTAGAAAAAAATGAAACATGTCTCTTTTCTCTCAGACAGCAGCCTGATTGTTTGTTTAAAAAGAGCTTTGCTAGCACACAGCATGTATTTCATGAACTACAAGTCACAAAGACATTTCCATAATAAGAAGTCACACTAGGGAGGGTACCTGGCCACAAACTGGTCACCTGCAGAGTAGTCAGTACCACACTGAAAAACCACGTCGTGATGAGAAGGTCTTTCCAAAGGAAGTGGAACAAGTGGTTTCTGAGAGGGAAAAGGGCTGTTCCAGCTCTGTCCTGACTGCTGCCCTGTAAACACAGTGATCTGTTCAGCTAGTGTCTCAACAGTGGTACTGCAGGAACCAAAGATACGGAAAAAGGCCTGCATCTCTAAGAGAGAAAAACGCACTTCCAAGATCTCCAGCCTCGGCTTCAGCAGGTGTTCCTGGCTCAGGAGGTCCACCAGAGGGTAGAGCTCATAGAATTCTGCTTCTCTCTGCAGCCTCTGATAATCTGAGAAATCAGTAGGTAAGGAGACCTGGAGAGTTCTCAAGAAGTCCATGATGTAGCTAAACAAAGTTCCATCTCTGTCCACAAAAAACTCTCCATTCACCAGTTTAAATTCCCGGTCATCACCGTTCAACATCCGTGCCAGCCTGGACTCAGGGAACTGCTGCAAGGTAGAAGCCTGGGTTACAAATCTCACACCTCCTACACTCAGAACGACCACCTCTCGATTACTCATCGTTATCTCAGCCACTCAAGAATTGTAACTCTCTGATCTACGTGTTTGTGACTTGGTCTTTCCAGGACTGCAAGCCACCTGCAGCTGCAAGAAACATTCAGTGCTTTTAGCAAGTGGAGTGAGGTGTGGAGCAGCAGCAGGATTCCCAGGCAACAAAGATGTAAATATCATTGTGCAGTAGTTTTGTTTGCAGGGATTGGTTGCTTGGAAACTTTCATTCTTGGAACTTGTTTTGGTTTTGAAATTAACAGCTTGCATGAAGCACTGGAAGACAGTGAATTGACCCTCACAACTTCCTTCACCTTGCAAGAAGCCAAGAACACCCCCACAGCACGGCACGCAATACACCTTTGTCTCCCAGAAACGTCAACTAGGTGTTTTCATTCTATATATTGACATTCATAGGACCACTGCAAAAAGAGGTTAGATGTGAATCTAGCAATACATTTCAGTGTCAAATGCTCTTAAAGAAGGGCCCTTCAGAGAGCTCAAGCTTACAGTTCACTTTAAATCACTTTTATCCTACTGCCAAGTCAATACACTCAGAAAAATCCAATTCACTCCTGAAATAAAGTATGTGAAAATACAGTAACGGCAGAAGAGCCTATATATGTTCCAGTGCTAAAGCACTTCCAAACACCAACAACATCCATACTACTGTCACATTACACACTCCAAGGAATCATCCCATCAGTCTTCCCAGCTTGTGGAATTATGATCTGGAGGAACAGACCAAGAGTGGAGAATTGCTCTACCTGCCACTTCTGTAAGCTGAAGCACAAGCTGCCATCCTGTGGCTGAGGTGGGCACGCCTTCACTGCACTGAAACATTTACATTAAGGTGACTTTCTTAAGAAAGTGTGGCTTCAGGAAAACATGGAACTAACAGGACAGCTCAGGTACTCCAACAACTTGATGCTGGAAAAGTAAACTGCGAAGTATGTACTATCTGCAAACTCTGCACTGCCTTCCAGCTTGTTCTTATCAGCCTCAACAGATTTTTCTTTACCCCTAGAATTTATGCCTGCCCTGAAGATGTATTTTTGTACAGAACATGTAAACAATCACCGTATCTACAGAATATAATATAATCATCAAGGTTGGAAAAAATCTTCAAGACCACAAAGTCCAACCATCTGCCCTACAACCTGAATGCACATGATAATTACAACATTCGGTTATAAAAAACCCCACATCTCTATTTTAAGTGAGAAGTAACATTCTCACATAGAAAGTGGTTCCAAAACATGCATGATGCACTCTGTATTTTGCAGTGGAAGGGCAGTCCTTAACGTGCCTCTCAGTACAGTGCTCTTGTCAACCATAACTGTTCCTCCTCTTTTCAAACCACATCCCAGTGAGAAAATTTTTTTTCAACTATGACCTTTAGGGAAGTGATTTATTCTACAATTACATTAAAATAAGGATGCAGTTTGGCCCTACATTTTGGTAAGAAAAATGATTTACAGTAGTATTCCCATAATCACCACTGAAAGGAGAATCAAGAAACAATGTGTCTTTCAAAGGTCCCTTCGATCTTCTTCTTTATCAGTGCTCAAACTAAATTAACAGTATGAATGTTTTGGAAATATTTTTAATCTTTGAATGTTTTGAATGGACGTCTTAAAAAAATCAATTAATTTCAAGAAGTTCTATGTTTTCTTCATCAGCTCTCTCTTGGTTCTGATACTTCAGTAGGAACGTCACAACAGTTTATATCTGCACACAAACTGGGCAACATTATCCAATACAACCAACGTATAGTTTTTACACTTTTCTCTTAGAAGTGAAGCTCCATCTGTCATCTGTTCCCAGTAAAAGACAGCATGATCTGCTATCTCCACTGTATCTGCCAAATAGGACAAGCTAATTGTAAAGAATTGAGATTTCCAGCACTGGAGATTGTCAACGACTGACTCCACAAAGGACATTCTGGTGACAGCAAGAATAAGCAAGCAAATAAGAGAGGTCAGTATAAATCTGCGTGAAAAGACTGAGAAAATCTTGAATTTAAGAGTGTTGTTTTCCTGAGGCAAGGAAAGCTTGTCCACATCAACTAGTTTTATTCCATTCCACTGACTGGTATCAAAGCTCTTCATTGTAGAGCTAACGTCCACACTGGAACAAGGTAAAGGGGTTTCTTTAAGCACCTTGATTTTTTCCCTGAACTCCTGCATCTGTTGCAGAAATATAATGGGTTCAGAGATATCTTTGAAGGCCTCTGCAATGTTAAAAGCCATCCGTTGCTCTTGCAGAATTGTGTTCAGTTTATTGATTTCTGGATCATAGGCCTGCATCACTGCAAGCTTCATGGTCTCAAAGTCAGAGAGAATCTCATTTCGTTTCTGCTCCAGTGTGTGCTGCAGCTTCTCAAAGAACTCTTTCACCTTGTCAGAATCTTTGCTCAGCATCTGCAGAGCTTTCCTCTTACTGGTTTCTAAGGTATCCAGCCGTGAGAGGGCATCTCCACAGCGCCAGGTTTCAAAGCCCTGGAACAGGGTTTCAAAAGCCCTCTTCTCCTGGGAATATGCTTCCTCAATAGAACAGAAAACATGCTTTGTGTGGTCACCACGGGTGGCACATACCCCACAGATCAGCTGCATATCTGTCCGGCAAAAAATGTTGAGGGGTTGCCCACTGTGCACTTTGCACACAGGCATTTTTGGAGTTACTTTGATTTTATTATATTTCTCCACGATACCTTTCAGGGAGTAGTTGACTTGCAAGCTGTTGACTCCAGCAACTGGAGTTTCCTTTCTGCATGTGGGGCACTTGAAAGTGGATGGCCTCCAAAGCACATTTCGCACGTTTCCCTCAAGAATTCCTTCCAGACACTTTCTGCAGAAATTGTGTGAACAGGGCAGGACACGAGGATCATCAAAGAGGCTACAGCAAATGGGACAGGTGAGATCTTCCTCTAGGAGCTCCATCATATCCTAGGAAAGAGAAGAAAGATAGTTACAGGACTTATAAAATGTATTTCTCCTCCAGGGAAACTATGCAAAAAACCCCATCTCCACCTGAGACACAGCTCAGTGAGAAAAGGATCTATTTTTTTCTCCAGTATCCTTAAGACAGAACTTCAGCTGAGTTCCCGCAGCCAGTCCAGTTAGCTGTGGTATCTGGCCACCAGATGGCAGGCACAAGAACAGCTCAGTGCCCAGGCAGAACCATTTTTTGGACTCTCAACCAGAAATGCTGGAAAAGAAGGCTTGCCAAACCCAGCAAGAACTCTGAATTAAAATAACTCATGTACTCATAACAACAGTTCAAGACTTACATCCTTCCTCACTGATGCAATACTCAGAAACTGGCTTTTCACAGAAGATACCCAGCTGATACACCCTGCTAAGATTTGATCACTCTCTGCTTGCTCAACTCATCTAAAGCTTAGTTTCAAATTCCATGCACCACTACTGTAAGAAGGGAATACGAAGATGACTGAAAAATCCCAGCTTCAGAATTTCTTCAGCTACAGAATGTGACATACAGCTCTTTGCTCTGCCTGCAAAGATAAAAGGGAGTCACCACTCACTTTAAAAGTGAGCTTTACTGTTGCCTCTACAGTATTTTCAAATAACCAAGAGAATGTGTTATCCTTGAGCTACTCAGCATAAAGATAAAATACTTTAAAGAACTGCCCATAACCCTTGATAAACCATCACAAACCAAAACTGTTAACCTTTTTTCATTCATCTGCAATCTCTTTTTCCAATTCCATTCTCACAGTATTCCCACCTCAGCAATTTTTTTTTTGTGGACAGGACCTACAGGAAGAGGATTTATCATGTACTCCTTTGTACTGCAAAGTCCCAGTGAAGGGACCCAGCCCACTACCTTCCTAGTGCCTCTACCCAGAGCCAAGTTCTCAGATGCAGACACTTTATGCTTTAAAAAAACAAGTAGCTAAAAGAGACCAAAACAGGTGAGGGTTTGTATTAGCCAGAACTCTCCAACACTTAGTTTTGAACTATAATTACAAAGATGTTTCCCTTGTATAAATTCCTTCCGTATTATACAATATATATTCATACCTGTATGTAATAAAATTCATTTTATAAATTAAAAGCTGTATCATTAAAAAGTGGATCAAAGTAGTCTTGTGAAAGGAAGGCATAAGAATGAGCTCTTTTAATTAGTTTTGATGGTACTACTAAGGTTCCTGCCCCCTCAAAAGAGTTGTGAAGTGGCAAACATGGGAACCAAGAGCAGAGTTGCAAAGGAAGTTCCATGCTGCACAGGACAAGAAAAGCAATAAAATCAACAACAAAGCAAATATAAGTACAGGGAAGAAAGGCAAGATCTTTTTTTCACAAGAGGACAGATACAGTCCCAGGAAGACTCCACAGTAAAAGAGACATTCTTAAGAGGTATAAGCAAACCTCCCATGCTTTGTCAGTGAAGAGGAGGAGAGGTATTCCCTCTGATTGTTTGGTTAAGGATAGTTTGAAAAAGTTGCCAGCTTTTCTACTCATCTTCAGGACTCAAGTCGTCAGGTATATGAAGGCCACCATTACAGCTAGGGACACAGCCCCAGAATAACAGTCCAATGACTTCACTTACTGTCTAAGGTTTCCTATAGCACCACATATCCCATTCAGAAGTTTCATTTTCTGTGAGAAGAAAGTAAATTTGAAGTGTCTCTCAATGCTAGAACAACCAAGGCTTCTCATCTGTCCTCTTCCTACTGCTAAAAAGGATGGGATGACGGCAAGAGGCTGACTTTGTCCCCATAACCTCAAATCTTCCTGTTCATGAATAGCTCCCTCTTTCCAACTTGTACTCACAGCCTTTAGCCATGGTAGCACAAAAATAATTTTGCTCATGTGTTAAGAGCACAAAACTAAAATGACAGCTCTCAGTCTTTTAGTGAATGGAAATTCACAGTGCAGACAATACTTTCTCTGGTCCATCTCCTTTACCAGGGAGGATTTTACTTCTTAGTTAGGGAGCTGGAAAAGCAGCTTTGCATGCCTGACAGTAAGGACTGCAAACCATTGCAGAAAACACTTATTACAACACATTACACCAAATTGCAGGACAAGCACTGAAGACACGCATGCTCCTAAAAATACAAAAAACATATACAAAAACGTTTCATGATCTAAATAAAACTGTCCTAGTGCATTCCAATCCCAATCATCCAATTAAATAATTATGCTTTACAAATATAACTGAATTTCAAAACCATTCTATGACATCATTAAAACTTACAATTTAAAAAAGAAATGGGCAAGTCTATGAGCTTTTTTTTTTCCCCTTACAGCACCACCCATAACAGCAAACCAAATACACACTGAAAACTTGCATGACTGGTTGGGGCAGCTGAACTTCTGCCTTTTTTAGGACATTAATTTCCAAGAGTAAGTTGCCTGTGGATTTAAAAACATCCTTTTGTATTAGCAACTTGGTATTTGTGTGGGGAACGACAGCAATATTTCAGCTTCTCCACTGGAAATTTCTCTGTGTAACTCTGATCCAGGCTTGGATGGCTCTGGAATTCCTCGTTTGTAGCACACGAACCAAAAGGCACAGCGGTTTTTCTTCCTTCACCTGAGCTCCATCAATTACCCGGGTGCAAACCCCACAGATGCCACCCACCAGAAACTTGCACAGTTGTATCATCAGGAAGAAGAACGGCGAGACCAATCGAACCATAAACGCAAAAAGCAACCACAGCAGCTTTTTTTCCCACACTCCATCCAGCATCCTTCCCAGCACAGAAGCTGGGCTTCCCAGGAAGCAGCAAGCTGAAAGCAAAACCAGAATTTCACCAAACTTCCAACAAAAAAAAAGTAGCTCTTGAATTACAAGCTTCCTGCAATGGCGTGCAGGTATTCTAAATAAAATTCGGCTTTGCCAGGCTACATCTCCACAAACAACTATGTCAGTCAAGAGAAGTGTCGTCTCCTTTCCTTCCCAAGGAGCTCCTAACGAGCCATTTCCCCAGTCTTCTGTCAGACTGACGCGTTGAATCTGCCCCAGAAAGGCTCCGAAGCAGACACGGCAGGAGGAAGGCAGATGGGAGCTCCCGCTCACAGCAGCAACAACTTTAAACCTCTGCTCACCCCAACCAGAGGAGCTGTCACCTCCCGGGGGGTCGGGGCACACGGGAACAATGGATCTCCGGGCGCAGCAGGTGGGCAGGCAGCCAAAAAAACACGCTCAGGAAAGCGGCCAGGCTTTAAACCTGTTATTTCATGGACAAAGTTGTTTGTTTGGTTTTTTTCCCCAGGAATACCAGGTAGATCCCCCACGTTCAGCCTTCAGAGAGGCCTGGGGAAACGGGCGGTCCCAGCGCCGTTCCAGCCCCAGGAACGCCGTTCCAGCCACACCAGCCGCCCACCCCTCGCTCCTGCACCCAGGCAGGGCTCTGCC